GTTAATATCACAGTTGACTAAAAACTGAGTTCTCTTATTTCTCGTTCTATGGATGCTGTAATCGGTAATCAGTATTCTGCATGTTTAGCAGGAAAACTTATAAAATGGATATTTGATCTTCAAGAAAAGATCCTTTTTATAATTATTAATTTCTTTGCCAGAGATGACTGTTATTTATAATTTTTAATTGTTCTTGAACCAGCTATGAAAAGTTTTATTTTCCTCAGAATTCAGCCATGTTATCTGTATCCCAGTTTGCTGATTGATAGTGGCGCTAGGGATTAAACCCAGGGCCTCACTAGTCTTAGCAGGCACTCTAGCACTCAGCTGTATCTCCAGCTCCCCAATATAATGACAAATCTGTTTGAAATACCTGCCCATCTGTTTACTCCTGGCAACTTCTATACTTTGCCAAATTTTTATGCTTTGTCATTCTTCTCCTGATTGGCTTCAAGCAATCAGCTTGTTGATCTCTTCTATTTTCTATGTCATCAATTTTTGCTCCATATTTTCCAATTTTGTGTGAAAGGACCATTTTGCTATTATTTACCTATAGTCCTGACATAGGTTTTGAGTTCATTAATTTTTGGCTTAATGTATATATTCATGTATGAGCACCCATAATGCCAGCTACTTGGTAGGATGAGGCAGGACGATTACAATTCTGAGGCCAATCTGGGCAACTTAGTGAGAACTTTTGATAGATCTAGACATAGATATACAGACCAATGTTTTATCTATAGATAGATGATAAATATAGATGACAGATACGTAGATAGGTAGAGAGATGATAGACAGATAGATAGATATAGGGCTGAGCTACAACTCAGCACTCCTGAGTATAATCCCTAGTACCTAATTTGACACTCAAAATGGTGTTTCTGCATTTTGTACTGATTTTCAACACAAGGGTTTTCAGTCATTAACTTTGTTTTTGAGAATTGTGATCTGGCCCCATGTGTAATTGGTTCTTTCATTCAATAAATACTAGCCATGCATATGCGCCAGGCCCTGCTCCAGGTGCTTGGGTTACACTACACAAAGTAGATCAAAACTCGGGCCTCCTGGGAGTTGTGCTGTATTGCCATTTCTTGGAAAAGTGCTATGTGCAAGCAGGATGTATATTCTTCATGTGCTGGGTCCAGTTGTTCTGTGTATGACCATTACATGAAGACCACTTTGAGTCTGCAAATCATGTTTCCTTACTGATCTGTTTCTCTGATTATTTTATCAGTGCCTAAGAGAAGGATATTAAAATTTCCTCTGGTGACTGTAGATGTATCTATATCTCCTGCTTCTAATTATCGCCCTAGGATACATGTCATTTTGAAAGAAAGATTAATGCTCAAATTAGGAAACATTCTCTATCTCATAGTTTGTAAGGGACGAATCCGGGATTCCAATGTGTCTGTTTTATTATGACACCATTAATGCCTTCATTTGTTTTGCTGACATCTTCTAATAACAACACACCAGTCTCTTCCCATCCTCTGGGAAATCTTTCTCCCAGGCTTTTTCCAAATTACCAGTTTCCTGCTCTCTGGTCAGGAACAAACGTGCCTTTGGCTAGCCACTGTGTCCTGGGCTCCATACTACCAGCACCAAGCCAAGGAAGACGTGGCATGTGGACCAGAAGGTAGGCATATGTGTCCACCATATTGCTTTCCAAGGCACTTGCCAAGAGGTGCTACGGGGTGTATTTCTGCCTTGCTGTTTGTCAAGAGCATTTTTCTACTATCTGTGATGTTAATCTTATCTAAAGATTTTCTATTTCTTTATTACTTCTTCTCCACAGCAAGAATACAGAAGCTTTCACTGCTTTAAGTTTTAAAAATAATTGTATTGCCATCTGGAAGTCACCAATTGTAGTACAAAGTATGATTTATTTCAAAACTCATTAAGCAGCATTACTTGCCAGGAACTGTGCTGGGAGCACTGTGGATGCAGAATGAAGCAAGACATACGCCCACCTGTAAGCGTGCAATGTAACAGAAAAAGTCATGTGCTAAGTGTGTGCAGTGCAGGGGGAGGGGTGTGCATGGCATGCAGTCAGAGAAGGCTTCTCACAGGAAGTGACATTTGACTTGTTACTGATCAAGTAAAGTGTGTTCCAAGAAAAACATCGGCAAAGGGAAGAGATCTGATTCTCCACATACATTAATTTTGTCAACGTGATTAAGATAATAATTTTTCTTTCTGCTGCTATATTGTGATTTTTCATGGACACTCTAATCAAGACTTATAAGTAAGTGGCACCTACCTATGGTGTCACTACCCCTTGCTCCCTACTATGGTCAGGGCTGTAACTGGACAAAGTCTGTTCTTAATGAATCTGCTCAATGAAGACTCTATGATTAGTAAAAATAATATAAACATTAATGGTCAATGACAACTAACAAGGGCGTGTGTGCTGGGAGGCACTTGCTCACACTGCCCACTCTGGACAGAGATGGGAAAGGAAGGCTCCCACAGAATTAAGGCAGGTTGGTTTAAAGGTGAGCACTGAAGGCCTAGAATCACTCGGTGATTCTAACCATTTCTAATCTCAGTCTTATCTCTCTGAGGTAGGAATGCTGCACATTTATTCATTTATTCATTTTGCAGATTGAACCCAGGCCCTTCACACCGAGCTACATCCCCAGGGCCCCCTAGGTCATCAAATTGCCCAGGTTGGGCTTGAACTTGCAGTCCTCCTGTATCAGCCTCCCAGAGTGCTATTACATGTGTACCTCCAGACATGGGAGGTTTCAGTATACTTTGAAGCTCCAAAGTTATCCCAGTGTGCAAACACAGAATGACAGCCATAGGGGTATTTGTTAGAAAAAGCCAAGTTCATTACCAATGTCACAGACTGGAGGATGGCCTAAGTCACACTCTCTGGGAAAAGGGTTTTCCTGCATGAGAGAGGCTTTGCCTCTGACATCTGGTCAGGAAGCTGATACCAGGAGTGAAGACCAGCAGAGCCTAACTGGCCAGCAGGACTCAGTCACCCAGGACAAAACCAGAAGTCTCAGGAACTGGCCTGCAGGTACCTTTTTAAATTAGCTCCCGTGGCATGATGCCACATCTACTCAGAAATGGCCATTTCTTATACTCATTCCTATTTTTGTAACAAATGGATAGAGATTACAGCTGTCAGAGCAATCTACATAACTAAATGAGCCTAATTTTATTAAACCCAATTGTCTCCCCAAGGTATCAAATTTGCACAGAGCAAAAGAAAAGCTGTACTCGGGTACTTAAAAGTCAATGAAATGATTATTAGGCTGCATGAAAAACAGCATGCCTTCAAAAGCAGAATACCATGTATCCCTGCCATTTATTTGAAAGTCATTTTGACAATATTGTGTATAAAGTAATTAGAGTTTTGGGTTAGAAATAATTGAGCATAAAAAACATTTGCTTTGAAAGGGAAGCCAGTATCAATCGTATCCTAATCTCTACACAATAAAAGAAAATCCTATCTCTTAATTACACTATAAGGACTCAAAATCTTAAGAGAAAACCCTTCAACTCTTACATTTACTTGGAGTCCTTAAAATTTCCTTCTGTAAAATAAAGTAAAAAAGAATTTCCAAGACTTTCATGTACTGTAATATCCTTTTCAACTTGGGATGTGAAAATGTATTTGTCTTGAGGAACAAAGGAGAAAGGGAAGGCAGGAGAGCAGGCTGCTAGCTGCTTGTATCCTAGTACCCACTCAGTTGCCCTCTCCCTGGGGGAGAAGTCTGAAGATATCTGAGGTCAAAACAAAAGTAAGTAGAAAATCCCTGTTAAATCCCTATACATTACTGAATTTATGTTTACTCCTAGACAAAGTAAAGTTACAAATGAAATTTCTATTTCATAGGATCTCCCATCTGAAGTAAAAAGAAAGTCCAGTTGATAGCTTTCAAATATTTGAATGATCCATGACTTGTATCAGTATTCTGGTTAAAAATTACCTCATCTAGTCTTTGTTCCTTGTAAGACCCCTTGAAGCATGTCCCTCAAAACGATCATGGAGAATTAGCTCCAGATACCGGGACAATCTAGAGGTGCCCAAGCGCATGTACTGTCCGAATGCAGCGTCCCACCACAGGCCAGCCAGCTGAACTTCTTTATCTGTTGTTCTCAAGGGTGATAAACAGGGTAATAATGTGAATGTTGGGATCCCACCTTAAGACCAACCAAACCTGAGATTTCTGTGGTAGGGACAGTGATCTGTGGACTTTCCAAGTGATTCTGATGCCTGCTAACTTTGAGAATCACTGTGTTAGAACATCTTATTCCTCAGAAATCAAAATAAAAGTGCCATAGTGATAGGAAATCAGTCATATGGAAATAAAGCTAAACTGTCTTTCCTTAAAACACAAAACAATGCACAATTATGGAACTACAATTTAGGAACTGTTAAGTCACCAAACTGTCTGTGGTTTAATGTATGAGAAAGTTGCTTTCAGCAATTCTGTAATTATCCCATATATATATATATATCTATATATATCTGTAAATTCAGCAGGTCCCATTGAGACAGAAGACAAAGGGACAAAATGCAAGGGCCTGGGTAAACCAACAGCAAGGGAGACCAGCCTCAGGAAAGCGGAGGCAAGGCAGAAAGGCCTAACCGGAGAACAAGGGTAAGGTCGCATGAGAAACCTGACAAGCAGTGACAACTGCATTTCCACAAGTCCCTCTGCCCCTTTCATGCCAGAACCCTCCACACTATACACTTTAAGAAGTTTGGCTACTTCCTTGTCAGCCTCCCTTCGGGACCCCCATCTACTGAGAGCTTTTCTACGTTCTCATGAATCACACTGGGTTTTTCCCCACTGCTGTCCCCTGGGCTTCACTCTTGCATTGCCTGCAGGGCAAGAGCCCAAAGAGAAAACTAGTCAGCCCCAGTCACAGTTCCTTCCCTGTCTGTCAGAATGGCAACCTGACTCACACCTGGCCACACTGCGAAATGACACGTTCAGTCAGGTGAAAATGAAAAAAAGAGGAAAGAAAAACACTTTCCACACGTTTTCATGATCTTTTTTATTTAACGTATAGTCCATGTAGACAAGTGGCATAAAATTCATAAAAATACAATACTCCTGTGCAGTCTCCCTGTACCCCGACACACCCTCATCTCCCCTCAATGGCACTGGCTTAGTTAGTTCAAGGGCACTCTCTCCGCTTGGCATTTGGAGAGGTTTGTCTTTTTATGGAACCACTGCCCCAGCTTGGCTTTTCTTAAATGTCATAGCAACAGCTATTTCCATCACCTCCTTTACTGTCTTCACAGTAAAACAAAAATATTTTTAAATGCTAAAAATATGCAAAATACCCAGTTATAATACTGCTTTGCCCAGAATGCACTGTGACTCCGTGTTTGTAGTCAGCAGCACAAAAGTGCCCATGGCCTCTGCCCGACCAACTCCCAAAAACAGAAGTGTCATTTGCTGGTGGGGTTACATGAAGAAATACTGTTACAGAAGGATTCTTCTGAAAAAACTAATTTGGGCTATTTTTAATGTTTCCCAGCATATGACATGATTATAATGGTATCTGAATGGTCTTTGCTGTGCAGAATTTCCAACTCTTCCATGTGAACTTGTTAGAAAAAGGAAGTGTTAGAGGGTGAGAAGAATAGAGAATAGCTCTACAAGTATGATTGACACCTAGTTGCTGGATGTACAAAATCTGTGGAACTCGGGTGGGGACCGCTATAGACAGCCCAATCACCCTCCCCTGTTTCCACCCATGTTGGCTCTTTCTCTGTAGTCTCAAATGCTCTCTTTGCATTTTCCCAAGTTGTGACACCATTGCTCAGATGTGATCCCCAATCTACAAATCCCCAGGTGGATCCCTATTTTCTAAAACATACAAAACCCTAAGAAATAAAACTGTCAAGCAGCAAATGACAGAGAGCAAGCACAAGTCCACAGTCTCCTGTGCTGACCCCCAGCAAGAAGACTCCGAGGGTTCTGGGGCCAGGAGGGGACCCTCATTCCTTGGCTACCGTCCTATCTCTAGCCACCTGCTATAGGCAAGCTAGCACCCCGCAAACCAGGCTGTCCCCTGGGCACTGAGAAGACAGAAAGAGGAGCTCTTCTGTGGCTGGGCTCCCAGGCTGAGAAGAAACCATCCCCGAGCAGCCAAGCCCCACGGACAAGCCACAGGGAGGGGATGCTCCCTGTGGTTAATAAAGAGAGCACTGTGTGATTAAACGCGTACTCAGCCATGGTCATGGTTTGCTTAGAATTAAAGCCTGAAAACCATTTCTCAAAATGAGGATGACTCAGTGTTTTGAAATATCTCATTTCACACAAATTAACTTCTAAGGAACAAAAGTTTATACAAGGAATTCAAAGCATATTTGGAAATTTTTCAAAATAAAACGTAGGAAAAAAAAATGAAAAGGAAGACTACATATTCTCAGTCCTCACACTGAAATGATGATTGTTAGAAGCCAAAATTATAGGATAGGACTCAAGGCTTGAAAGTAAAACAGAAAAACTCCACTCACTCATCATTATTCATTTACTTTTTTCACAGAAAAGTTAGTCATGTTTTATTACTGTATCTTAATAATGAAAGAAAAAGTATCAGATACTACAATCCACTGCATATTGTATCTACTGAAATATACATTAGCTTCTAGATACACACATTTGGGGTTCTTCAAAATAATTTTTCTTTAACCTATAATTAAATATGAAAAATTTTAAAACTGGTTTAAAGGTATTAAAATATAAACATCTGAGTAATACTAAAAATGAGGAAAATACACCGTTACCAGAACAAGTACTTGATAAGCAACTTAGTGAGCAAATAGCATTTATCTGACAAAAACTGGGGGCTGGGAGAGAGACAATAATGCCACACGGTTGGATGTTAAAGGAATTTGGTCCTAGCCGCTAGATCCAAGAGCCTAGAAAAATAATAGGAAGTATTTCATTCACAAGAGCAACAGAGAACAAAAAGAACAGAAGGGTGATTCCACGCAGCAATACCCACGCCTGCCCACTGACCACAGCATTGGTGCTGAGTGGGTGGGGTGGCCAAGCCCTCAAGAACCACAGACTGTCCGGATCCAGGGCCAAGAGGTGCAGGGAGAAGCAAGGGCCACCGGTATTCCATGAAACTCAATCATCCCAGCATCCTCCAGGATGGACGACATTTTCCCACCATCTCTGTCAATGACCCAGCACACAGTTTTACACAAACAGCTCTCTGCTCACTCCAGCACACATATTTAAGTCAAGTGTAGGCATATACTTCTTTGCATAGCAGGTTTCCAGGAGTGCACTGAAAGAGTAACCCATCAGTAAGTACGTAATTTCATTTCATTTTTACAACCAGAATGACACTCAAACTCACCAAATAAATGTTCTCCATTTGAAAGCTTCCTATAAAAATTTTGGGATTTGAATTAAAAACAATACATGACTCGTTAGCAAAACATTAGGACCATGGTTGATGCAATCAGCTGTTCAGCAACAGTTCACGCAGTCGTCACTCTTATAACTTCTAGGACTTTGTAAATACTGTTTTGGAATACAGTGGTAAAATGAGGCTTGGACTCCTTCACCAAGAGGTTACACAGGGGCGTCTTCCCAGCGTTGGCGGGATCTTCCACATCCCAAATCTCAGGCATACTGCAGCCAGGCCTAGAAAAGGCATCAATGCGCATTACCTAACTGCACATAAGAGCACAATTTAGATTTCAAACCTCACTTCATTGTTTTCCTAGTTAAATTAACTTAGCTAAAAAAAAATCTTACCACTATTACTTATGCTTTTGTAAGGTGCGGCACTTTCTCTTTAGGACACAGTGAATGTAGCAGGTGAATGACCACAAGGAAGGAAACAGACTTGCAGAATACATGTGTTAGGTGCTCAAATAAGAGAGGCTTCGAATAAATTCTGCCTCAAGGACTTGTCAAGATGTGTGTTGGGGTAATTACATCCACTCAGTCTGTTTCCACATTTGTGAAATGTAGAATTACCTAAGTGTCTTGGTCACTTTTTTGTTGCTGGGACAAAATACTAACACAACTAAAGGACAAGAGCTTTATTTTGGCTGATATTTTCAGTCCATTATCCACCAACTCCAAGGAGGACTGCATGGAAGAGCGGAAAAGCAGAGGAAAGCAGCTAGCCTCCTAGCAGCCAGGAAGCAGAAGGTGAAGGAAGGGGCCAGGAGGGAAATAAACCCTTCCAGGCCACACCCCTAGCAACCAACCTTTTCCAACTAGACCCCAACTCCTAACAGCAAGTCCAGCTATAAGCAATCACATTCCAATCACCCTCCCAAACCTTCATCTATGAGTGCAGGAGGCTTCTGATGGTCATCTAGATTTAAACCATAACGTTCCACCCCTGCCCCACAAGACTCAAGCTCATCTCACACAAAACAGTCCCATCTCTAAAAGTCTCCAAAGTCTTAACAGCTTCAGCACTGCTGAAAAGTTCAAGTGCAAAGTCTCTCTAAGAGTTAATACAAAGTCATAGATACAAGCCCCAGTAAAAATCAAAAAGAAAGCTAAACATTTCCAATATACAACAGGACAGGGTAAACATTCCCATTCTAAAAGGGAGGAACGGGGGGATAGGAAGGAATGGATCAAGGCAAGACCCTAGCAGGGTGAACATTAGAACCTGCAGTTCTCTGTCTAGCACCTGGGGGCAAGCTGTGGCAAGGTGCAAGCCACAAAGCACTTGAGTGGCCCTGCCCCTATGGGTGTAGTGGCCTCTCTCTTGAGCTGTCTGTGCTTACTGTGCAGGTTTCCTTAGCAGATGATCCACCTTCTTGTTTTCTCCAACTTTCTGGGCCTCCCCTGCACCTTTGGCCTCACAGTCACAGCTTTAAACACTGCCCTCTCAGGGGCACAGTGCCTGGTTTCCCAGGGCTTCTTCTGAAATCTGGGTGGAAGCCTTCCTGACCCCAAAACTCTTGCATTCTAGATGTCTATAAAATCAGCAGCACATAGATGATGCCAAGGTCCACTGCCACCTCCAATAGTAGCCTTGCCCCCTGTCCCCTGTACATATTTTTAAATTTGAGGTTATTAGTACATGTGTATCATACATAATTGCATCTCTTGTGTGGAGATGGCATGTGTACATATCTCAATTCCGTCTTTTATTCCTTATCCATTCTTTCCCTCCTTATCCTTCCATCTCTTCATCCCCTTTCCCTTTGCAAATATTAAGATTCCATCTCACCCTAGGAAAAAAATGTCCATCATCAAGAAATCAAATAATTACAAATTCTGGAGAGGCTGCAGAGGAAAAAGGAACCCTACTACATTGTTGGTAGGAATGTAAATCTGTACAACAACTATGGAAATCAGTGTGAAGATTCCTCAAAACACTACAACTAGAAATTCCACTTGATCCAGCTATTCCCCTTCTAGGTATCTTCGCAAAAGAGTTCAAGGCGTTGTATTACAGTGATATATGTAGGTATTACAGTGATACACCTATGTTTATAGCAGCACAATTCCTAACAGCTAAATCTTAGAAGCAGCTTGTATGTCCATCAACAGATGAATGGATAAAGAAAATGTGGTATTTATACGTCATGGAGTACTACTCTACCATAGAGAAGGATAAACGAGTCATTTGTAACAAAATGGATGCACCTTGAGACCACAGTGTTAACTAAAGTAAATCAGACACCACAAGCTTAAGTATTGCACTGTTTGTCTTATATGAGAAATCCAGAGTAAAAATAAAGAGTAAAATACAAGAGAACATGAACTAGGGAGATATACTCTTCTCAAACAGAGCCCCTGTATCATGGCTATAAAATGTGTGGGTGGCTGAGCTGTGAACTGAATCTGAGAAATCAATTTTATGTGTGGCCTTTCTCCAGTAGGGTACCCTGGGGTTCTCTTTTTACAGGAAATTATTGGGGGTGGGGATTTAGCTCAGTGGCAAAGTGCCTGCCTGGCAAGCGCAAGGTCGTGAGTTAGGTTCCTGGTACTGGAGAAAAACTAAAATAAATAAATAAATAAATAAAGCAAATTATTAAACTTTGAACCTTTTAAATATGAGGTTTTGTTGGTTCCCAGGACATCCTCAAGGCATCCTTCCTGTTGTGCTGATGTAAAGTGCTTAACTTCTTTTTAATTTTTTTTAGTAACCAAGCTCTCCTCAGCCAAAACTTTACAGGAGCTTTCCTTCTGGGAAAACTGAAAACTTTTTAAAATCACTCAACTGCATCCTTTCCTCCGAATTCTCAACATAGAGCTAGCTAACCAACTGCACCCAAGCCACAGCATGAACACTGGGCTCCCTTGAAATTTCCTCCACCAGATTAGTCTGCTATCCTTGATCTCAGTCTCCCCCAAGAGCAGAACATAGACACATAAGAGCAGAATGCAGACACATACTTTGCCACAACATAACACATAATCTCAAGTCCAATGGCCAATGGAGTTCTTGCTCCCAACTGAAACCTTCTTAACCAGGTCTTTACCATGTACCTTTTTTACAGCATCCTAATCCCCTAAACTCCAGCCAGAATTTTCCATCAATCTTGGCTTATAGGATTCTAGGGCTTCTCTGGCTGGCATCTCCAAACCTTTCTGAACTCCTCTCCACCTACAAACCAGTTCCAAAGCCTTCTACACCATATGGTCAAGTATAGTCACAGTGATGACCCCACTTCTCTATCTAAGACAAGTATCTGTCTTAGTCTCTGTGACAAAACACCTGACACTGGCAACTTAAAGTAGAACATGTTAGTTTTGGTCCATGTTTTCAGCCCAAGGCCTGCTGGCTCTAAGGCAGCAATGAGGTAGGAGATTAGGGCTGGGGAAAATGGGGAGACCAATCTAGCAGAGTATGTCAAAAGTAGTAAGAATCCAGTGTTTCCTAAAAAGAGAAAACATGCACAGAACCTTGTACCCAAAAACTGAAGGCTTAAGTCTCCTGAGCACTGTATACAGAAATAATCAAGAAGTGGTATCTCAATCTTTCATTTTCACATATATACGATCAAGCACTAGAGAGTTTCTGATCCTCCATTTATATATGGTAAGAAACTAAGTGGGTTCTTTGATAGAACAATTCAGGTTAAGTGAGTTTAGAACAAATGTCCCAGTGCCACATGTGCACGAGGTGGAGACCAATCCACGTATTTTGGATACAGAGGAGCCCTCTCCCTTACTCTGGCTTCTGTGAGGATTTTCATTAGCCCCCTCTTGCCCTGTAGAGTACACGTCTTTTTGGCGTTCCGTAAACGTACACCCTTGTTGCCTGTTCAGGGTGTCCTGTCCAAGTCTTTGTTCAAGATACCAAGGACCTGGAAAGAAGTCCCCCGAACCTCTAACAAGTAACAGGAAGACATGGTAGAGGGGGCATAGTGAAAGAAAAGTTGCTCACATTGTGGCAGCCAGGAACCAGAGAGTGAAAAAAGAGCCAGCAGGGACATACACTCTTCCAGGTCATGCCCCAAGGGACCCACTCTTCTGACCAGATTCCACCTAACAGCAAGCCAGCTATATCACCCCCACGATTCCATTATCCTCGAAAAGCTCTGCCTATGAGCTTGTGAGGATCTGGGGGATATCTAGATTTAAACCACACCAAGACATAGGTTTGTTGAAAGGATTAAGATAAGTACCCAGCACTATAGCTGGCATATAAAAAAGATATATTGATTTTTAAAATTATAATTGGCAAATATACTTAATTCATAGGGAAGATACATTAATTTTATACATAATTAAATCTTAAAAGCAATATATTTTTCTAAAGACTGATGATATAAGTGAAATAGGTGCCAAGTGTTATCTGCCTAAATAGGTTCTCCAAAATAACTGTGACATTTCATTTAAATCAAGAACAGTTTTATAGATATAACTAGTGAGTCTGTCAAAGTTCACACTTTATAGATACAACACGGAGTTTGACAAAGTTCACACTTTCTTACTTTTTGAGAAATCTTATGAAACACAAAAATACATGAAATATAGAGAACTGACAACTGCTACATTCTGTCATGAGTGCTTCATTTCTTTTTTAATTAAATGAAAACAAAATCATTTCCAACAAGTACCTTCATCTCCAATGTCAATTCTCAGAGATGATTTCTACAAATAACACAGCACATATTCTGCTAGACCTTTCCTATCCATACTTGGCCACACACACTAACACAGACAAGCTTTCTCCTTCTCCTTTCTTTTCTGTCCCTCTCTCTGTCCTTTCTCTTTCCCTGTCCCTGCACCCTCCTCCTGGGTTGACTTTGAAAAATAGGATTATTCTAGGTCTCTTAACAATCAGATGTAGCAATTTTCTCTTCTGAGCACATCAAGGCCACAGTACTCACTTCTGTCTTTGCCCTCATCAGACTCTCCCTGTGTGCGCCCCCCACCTAGGGCTCCAGTGCACATTTATTGCAAGTCCTCAGGAACAGCAACTTCATGGACCTTGAATGCCAAGGATAATATGGCTGGGCTTTCGTTTCCACCTTCTAATTTTCTATTGCAGGTCAAGGCCAGAGGGGTAGAGAGTGAGACACAGGGGTAGAAAACTGCCCCAAGTTCCCTAAGTTCAACCACTCGCTAGAAAAAGTAAAGGCAAAGAGCTGCGTTTGTGAGCCCTGTCTGCTGCATGTAACGCCCTCTCATCTTTATGTGAGCTCCTCAGGGTCCCAGGGCAGCCAGCAACATCTTTTAATAACATTACTAATGCTGTGCAGCAGTGCATGCTTGCTGTCTCAGGTACTCAGGAGGCTGAAGCTGGACGATTTGAGGCCAGCCTGGGCAATGCAGGAAGGTGAGAGCCCCATCTCAAATGAAAGTTAGTGTAAATCTGAATAATTTTCTTCTAAATACATTTAAAAAAAATTTTTAGGTCAACTTTATTATTGGAATTAAGGAAAGAAAACAACTAGCTACCTAAGAAAAGACTAGCTACCTAAATACTTTCCCACATTTGTATCTGGTGCATTTGAGGGCTTGTCTCTGCACATGAGCGTGGCATACTCACAGACTTCTCAAGCCACACTGCTAAGCTTCAAAGACCCAGTGCTCCTAATGTGCCAGACAGGCGCAGATGAAGCACAAGATGAGATGAGATAAAATGAGCCTCCTCCCCATCCTGTATCCCCGCCACCCTGGTCTGCAAGGTTTCACGTCTCTGAAGCTTTCAGGTGTCTGGGGCTAGCGTAACTGATGAAAAGAGGCCAAAGCAATAAAGAGACCCCCAATTCTGATAAAAAGCTCTGTCACAAACCTCAGTTGTTGTAGGGAGCTGCTAAAGCTGGAAACTGATCACGTGTGGGGATGAGGGGAGGCAAGGAGAGCCCCAGAACAAAGAGCTCTCAAGGTAAAACAAGCTGCTTCAGTCCAGAGAACATCAAGCCCCAAGATGACACAAGCAATAGGTTGCTAGGCAAAGGGGTGTAACATGACACCAACCTGCCACCTGTATAAACAAAAATGCTATAATGGTTGAGCAGTTCCTTTCCTCCCATCTGGAGAGAGGGCTCTACCTGACCTTAGCTTTCTGTCTCTTATCTTTATTTCTCCATTCTTTGGCCATCCTTCCTGCTGGGGAACTTCAAGAGCTGCCCACAGCAAGTTGTTTCCACAGTAAATACTAACATGAGGCAAATCCTTGTCCCTCTCCCTCCTTCTCTCCTGTCCAGGTCCCCCAGGATTCCCCAGTGAGGCAGACAGTACAGCTTTGCTTGCACTGACACCCAGTGGGTGTCAGCCTGGCCACCACTGTCGTAGATGAACAGTGCCATTTAGCAAATGAATGGGAAATTGATGATTGAAAGCCTTTGTGACTTTTGCTGCAGCAACAAGACCCCAGTAAGCTGAAGTCCCAACAGGAGAAGGTGGCAGGAACACATCCCCTCTGATCCTACCCCTGTCCCAGAGCCCAGAGTGACCAAAAGCTGGCCACACAGTGGCTGATTTCCCTTTGTGCACATTTAATGTCATACTTGCTAAATTTGCTTTGTATCCACCTCAAGTACATACATAAAACTTCTGCCCATCACAACTGGTTCTGCAAAAATGTGATAATCTCTACCAACCAAGACTTCAGACACAGCATGCCTGCACCTAGTGCATACTCAAAACACTACGCCAAAGTCTAGGAAAAATGAAGACTCTAGAATTGAGGTTCATTTCCAACTTGAAGGAAAAAGGTTCTGAGAATTATTTTTATGTTATAGTAGTGAACAGGTGCGTCACAGCAGAGTGAAGATCCTAATTCTGTAAAAGTTCTGTGAAGAAAGCTGAGTTCTACTGCAGATATCCGCCCACTACTGATTTATTATTATGTCCCTATCATACTGTTATGAGAGATCCATGCATCTTCTTCTTCCTAAATTTACAGAATAAAGTTAAGTAAAGGTGAGTGTGGATTTCATATATATTCATATAACCCTAAGTACTGAAAGCATTTTCTAAATTATAAGAGCAATAACATTTTGTATAAATCCTGCACAATTCGAGTTGCTGGGCACATTCACAGGCAAAGCATATAACAGTCATTTTAGTCTCCTGTAGGCAAAGCTACACAGATTCAATGTTACAAAGCTCTTGAATTTGCACAGCATCTTGCCTTCACGCCCTTGTGTGCCCCTGATATCTATGGTAGGTAAGTGTAACTAAGCCATAGACAGCAACCTCCTGAAGTCTTCTGTTTAGCTAAAGAGGATTGAGGAATTTTAAAATAATGTTCCATAAAATATCCTCCATTTCTGGTGAAACTGCTTGTATGCTGGGCTCCTTCTGCCATGAGGGCTTCATCCTTTAATAACAGGCTGCTGTCTTCTGCCATCTGTTCCCATAGCATTGTGACATAGTCAACTTCAGAACTCACAGGTGCTGCTCAATCTCCCTGACACCTGTCACTACCCTGGTGAGTAACTTTTTCATGGAAACAAAAACCTTTTACAGTATAAACCCAAGAGAACGTAGGTCATAGTAAAGTTATTCAAAATTTTCCCACTCAAATAAGCTGTGAAACAGCCATAAAGGAAACTGTCAATGTAGGATGATGTTGCCGAGGGTCTCATCTACCCAGAGGACCCATGTGATGCCCAATGAGTCCTGGATGACAGACCAACTCCCACTGTCTTGAAATCTGCCAGGATCTGGTTGACTTGGAGTCTTTTGAAAGAAAATGCATCCAACTTTAAGTAAAAGTCTAAAAACATCAAAGGCAAGAACAAGGTCTGATAAAAAATACACAGAATATTTAAAGCATTTTAAAAATTATTACAGTAAAAGACATACCCCTCCTAAAAATCATCCCTCTCCCTTCGAATACACTTATCCCATTATTCCTGCCACTTTCTGAAGCAGTTCTGGAAGTTCTCTCTTATGACTATCTTTATGAGATGGGATCCAAGGTACAGTGAATGCTGCTGCTGAGGGCCATCCAACAGAAAGGCCGGCTGGTAAAAACATGATGCTGTGTCCTCATTCACCTTATTCACCAGATTTGGTACCATGTGACTTTTGGCTCTTCCCCAAGTCAGAATGATCATGACTTAAATGTTTTGAATTGATTTAGGACACCGAGGCAGACACAACAGTGCAACAGAAGGACATTCATGAAAGAGGACTTCCAGAGCTGCTTCCGAATGCTGTAAGAAGGAGGGGATAAGTGTGTTCAGAATGAAAGGAAGTATTTTGAGGGGGATTCATGGCAATATCTCTTTTAATGTAGTAAGTATGTAATATTTGAACATTCATCATATATTTTGATTAAACCTCATACGAACAGTTTGGGAGATTATCAATCAGTGCCAATAGAATTCTTTTAAGGTGGGTGTGTATTATAGAGAAACGAATACTTATCATGACAAGACAAAAACTCAGTTCACATAACTATTTAAAAAAGTTCTTGGTACTTGTAATTTGCAACACATTGTATACTTGTCACAACAAGTAAAACGCTTGCAGTGAGCCTAAATTACCTTTTCATGTTTTAGGACTGTAGAACACTAATGGTGCTGAATACTCACTTGGATCTCCTTACACACCATGACTCTTCTAGAATGTAATAATTCACCTTTAGTTTGATCAATGCTTGCTTCACTTCTTCAGCTGCTTTTCGACTGTACATCGAGTACACTATTTTTGTTCTAGCTCTTTAAAGAAAAACAAATGGGCAGAAAAATTTTCCAAGGTTAGAAGGATGGTCAATATTATCTGGAAGAAGGCACAGGATGGTACTGAAGGAAAGATTATTCAGGGAAACCAGGGCAACAGGACCTTCCTCACTGCGGGTAACGGCCAGGCCGAGCTGAAAGTGAAAGTGCCCAAGACCTGGGAGGAGAGGGGTGGCTTCAGCGCATGCTGCTGCTTCCAAATTGGTTTCATTTTTGTCTGTTCACTTGTTCTTGTTTTTAATTCTTCACCTCTCTCTCCCAGGTGAGAGCAAGGAGCCTGTGTAGATGGAAAATGGACACCCACGACTCCAGAACTGCTGTCCCAAACCGTGACATCAGCAGTCCTCAGCACAAAGACATCCTCCCCTTGGCCTCCACATTTAAAAAAACCTAAACGCACTTAACCAAGCTGCTCTGGAAATTAGTGTGTTGAAATTGATTTTCTTAATGAAAAAGCTTTTTATTAATAAAATGTATATCCTGATGCTATGCAAAATAATATACTAACAGGTTTCACCTAATCATTTAGGAAATGAATAGCTTCATCTACCCTAGAAGTTGCATCAAAATTAAATCAATTACCTTATCTAAAAGAACACAAGATAGCAATTTATGAAAAAAATACAGTGCTACTTAGGCTTTAAACTTAATTTGTTTTACAATTTTAGGGAAGATGGCTGCATTTGTGTTTGTGTGAGGAAGATGGCTGTGGTCGTGTTTGTTACCTGATACGGAGTTTGTGAAAAGAAGCAAAATTCTGCTAAATGCTCTTGTTTTCAAACCAAACTGTACAAACAGAAGTATTTGTGAGCCAAGGTATTACTGTACAAAAAGCCTCAAAAACACAGAAATATTTAAGATCACTCTGGCATAGGCCTTATTGGTGAGAACCAGAATACACTATGTTTAGTAGGACTGTATTGCAACTGACTGCTTAGAATTCGAGAAAAATGGCCTCTAAGATTAAAACTGCAGGTTATAGAGCAGACGAGCAGCAGGATGACAACAACCAATAAGCACCAGGTTGCCCTGGATCCCATTCATCTGCAGACAATCCACAGGGCGCTATTTCTTTTTCTGCCTGGCAGAAACAACTCTAAGTGTTATGATATTCACCCTGTGGAAGCATCACAGTTTATTCCCAGCTTGGCAGTTTTGCTTCGGCATTTCCTCATGGGCCTGTGAATTGCACCTACCACATCCTCGCCCTGCTGGTATCCTCACTCATAGTTTGTTCCTGTGGAAACCTCTTGCTCCCTGTGTGAGCACTGACCTCAAGCCTGCATCTTCATAGTGTGGGTGGTTCACTACGGGCCGCAGCGCAGACAGCTTCACACTGGCCATGGTGGGCATAGCTCCCGCGAACACTGCGTCTGCAGGGAGAGGGGTCTCAGGAGGGTGCAGGGGAGCTGGTGAGGCTCCTCCTTCAATGACTCAGTCATTTCAGAAGTCACAGAGCTGAGGCCAAGAAGCCAGAATCAGATTCAGTGGCAGAAGCTAAGGAAGCCACATGGAGGCTGCTGCAGTGGACACCAGGCTTGGGAGCCACTTGGGAACTGGAAAACAGCTTCTCCATTGCTGAGGACTCCTTTGCTTTTAAAAAAAAAAAAATCTCAGAAATTTTTCCTGTTTCCAAGGAAGAAGTATCAGAGTAACCAAGAAAGTGTTCTAGTACCAAGGAATATTCACTCAGATGACACTTGGATGACAAGAGCTTTCCTTTGGAAACATGAATAAAAGATCACATCCGTAAATTAAAGAGGGACTGTGAAGGACTGATGTGAAAATTTCGTCAAGAAAATAAGCATAAAAAAATTATTTTAAAATGTGGCATTTGCAATTGTGGATAAATTCTGAAAAAATTCAAATTTATGGAAAGTAGCAGAATAAATTATTAAGAAAATATGTGCAACAGTTCCCCTGCAAACCACTGAATCAGGACTGATCTGTCTTTTTTGGAGAAGAAATACTCTAGAACCAGCACTGCTTAGAAACACGAGGACCACTGAAGGAACTTGAGGATTGTGTACTTGTATGTGAAACAGTACAAAAACCCTAGCTTAGCGGTGACTTTTACCTGGTTTGGTGTTATATTTGATCCACTCTATCAGTTCTTCTTGAGGCAAATTACTGAACTCCCCCACAATATTCCACTGTGTTTGTAGATTCGCTGACCCTTGAATTGACATTGCTGCTAATACGGCAAACACAACAGCCCCAGGATGCACTTTGCAAAAGAGCCATCCAAACAGCTGAAACCACAGTAAGAGCATATTGACAGTTGTTAGTACAAAGCAGCATGGGTCCAAGAAGCAAAACAGCCTCCCAGAAGAGAACTCAGTCTCAGTTAGAGCTTCAGATAAGAATTAGTTATCCCAGGGAAAGGTAGAAAGGTGCCAGAAACAATGCTCCTCAGGATCAAAAGCACACTTCCACTGGCTCCTATGAGTGAAACATGACCTTCTCACTGGCCACATTCCAGATCCAGGGGAGGCCAGGGGAACCAGCGCAGAGCCTGAGGCTCCTTGTGCAAAATCACAAAGAAGTGTGAAATAGCACGAGCAAGAAACATATAGTTGCGGGTCCCTGAGCTCAGCCTTGGTGCACAGGTGACAGAACAGGCCATGTCCCTGGGAGCTGACTCTCCTGCTGCAGAATGGGGCTGAAAGGAAAGGCTTCCAACCAGCCACCTGTGTCCCCAGTAGGAGGCAGGCTCAGGGACAGTGGAGTATCTCCCACACAATCCCAGCTGCGGCAGGAAAGCCTACACTGACAGTATGGCACCCACACTCAGCACCAGCACTGTCTCTGCTGCTCTCTCCTAGGTATCATTCCCCTCATATCTGCAGAGCTGGACTTCAAGCTTCTTGAGGGCATAGGCATACTTGGCTTTGTCATGCTCCACCCATGGTGCCCTGTGCATCATGACATTTATGACAGGTGTTACTTCTGCATCATGACTGGTTGGATGATCAGCAGGTGACAGCATGGGGAAGCACAGAGCAAGGAGGCAAGAAAACCAGCAGCCAATGTCCAGGGACAGAGTCAACTAACTCGTCAAAAGCGGAGATCAGGGCTGTACGTGCAAATGCACACTCAGTAAATGAAACAGAATTTAAGCCTGGTGCTAAGAACAATGTGATTTAAAAGTACTTATAACCTGAAATCAATTGTTAGAATTCCTTGGGTTGTGAATGTCAAGAAAAAAATATTTCCACAACTGAGTTCTGCTTTCTGCCGGCACTTGTGGTGGTCGCTCATGCTCAGCTTGCGCTGATTAGGGTTTGCTGTATGCTCAGGACTATTTTCAAGGATTGACAGACAATGTCCAGGTGTGGACTTCTCCCTTTAGAAAGGGTGAGAACAAACTCATGAAGTACTTTAAACACAGTGACTCAGAACCCTGAGTAGCTGAACAAAATTTCAATCAAGACTACTCAGTAATTGAAGTTGGGGTGAAATGATCATAGCAGCTACGACCCCTCCACAATGACCATGTCACCTGTCGAGAGCAGATCAAGGAGGCCATAACACACATGTGTGGCGTCAGGAAGAGTTTCAGTCTCATAATCAAAATGCCAAGGGCTGTATATGCCAGCAGTTGCAAGACATGATAAACCAGCTGAAAGAGAGAAAAAAAGAAATATTATATATTCCTACTCTTTGTGGAGGTTAAGAATATACATACTGGTGAGTGTACAGAAAGAGGTATTTTTTCTTAATTAACAAAAATTATTACTTTGATAATGAAATTTCTAAAACAATTCCTAAGATTCACTTTTAAGCTGCACTATTTTAGTAGAAGGCTAAAATAAGGTAACTAAGGTAAGCATTTCTGTAATTGTACTGAGTCAAGCCTATGGTTACAAAGCTCACACTTCTGAATCGACCTCAGTGCTACCATCAGACCAAGGCAGGACAGTGGAAAAAGAAACGACTGTGCCTCGAGATCCCAGTGCTCCCCTGACTCGCAGGAAAGGGAGGCTGGGTGTCCCTGACACAGCAGCAGCGGTCACATGTCTGTGAGCAAAGTCACTTCACATGTGCACCTCTATGGGCTCCAACACCAGCAACTATGACTGCACGGATTATCCCAGCAGACCAAGAGAGTTTCCTACTTCACTACCTCAAAAAGTATAATGACCAGTGAGTCTGGGTCATCCTCATGAAAATATGTACTGGGGGATTGTGAAGATAATTAATGATAATTGTCAATAAGCTTAGTAACTGGAACTAGAAAGTCCAAGTATATACAAACGTTAAGACAGACAAAGTGTTAGTAATGTTAAGTCTTTACCTCTCCATGATCAAACTGGCGTTTTCTGAAACAGAAAAAAATACTGCTATTAAATTATTATTGAGCACTTACTGCATTTATTTGCATTTTACCTTGTGACTACAAGTTTTACAATGGCTGCAGTATTTCCCCAGGACACATACAGGTAAATCAAAATACTAAAAGTTATACACCAAAACTGGTGCTATACCCACAAAGATGGTTTATTTTAAATGACACGTTGCACTGTATCCTGGGCATCTGACTGCTTTGGCGTTTATTAAGCCAGTAACAGTAGTCTGTAGAGTGCAGACCCTCCTGGTGACATCCTGGGAAAGCAGGGAGTGGAAAAGAACCCTGAGGCGTCCTAGCTCCTCTGCTCCCACCCTGTGGTCCTTTGGCCTCCGTGTGATGTGGCCGCGGTGGAGACCACTTAGGGCTGGAAGGCACTGCCCCTCCCCCGCTTTACTTCCTCAGTCCTGGAATGGGGGGACACTGGCACTTACATCTTATGATGACACTGTCCCCACCTGCCTATAATGGCACTGTCAGCACTGCTGTGAACACAGCAATGGCCACAACATTTAGCTGCTCACAGCCCTACCTGGCTCACCAAGGATCCTCACCCCAGCAGTGAGCGCAACCTCTAGCCACAGGGAGCTGCCGATGAACTTCCTCACGCAGAAGCCACTTGCGCTTCCTAGAGACTCAAATCACCCTGTGCCACAGCCTGCCCCACTGCTGGGCCTAGACACCTATTCCTCCTGCATCCCTTGTTGTGACCGACTGACCCCGTGCAATGCCAACAAGGTCTCTGGCTGGCGCTCCCACCCGTACTCAGTGCTGTCGGCTTGAACATTCTTACCCCATTGCCCTGGCTTACCTTCTTGAAGAAAGCGAAGTTCTCATTTGTAGTTTTCTCATTAGCTGCCTCTCCCTACTACATTGAACCCCTCAGGAGTCTGAGGTACAAACCCACCCATCCACCTGTTTGTTCATCTGTCTACCCATCTACCCATGCATCCAACCATGCACTCAGTTCTACTGAGCACTAAACACGCTGTAGACAGAGGAGTAACAGTCAGCAGACCTTCACCCTCACAGAGCTTACACCTAAGAAGACAAATGCAAAGTAAATAAACATGTATCACATAGGAACAAGAGCAACTGTGAGAGAAACACAGAGTGGATGATGCTAAGGGGCCTAAACAATCTGTGGGGAAAGTGCTGCAGGCAGAGGACAGAGTGCAACAGCCCCAAGGTGGGGAGGTTCTGATGGGCTGAGCACAGAGTCAGATTAAAGCAAGAGAGGGAGGAAGCCATGGGAGGAAGGCTGCAGGGATGCAGGACCCAGGAGACCTGGCTGAGGGCTCCAACTACTCTAAGTATTTGGAAACTTCTCGAAGACAGCAGTGGTGTGGTCTGGCTTTTCTCTGAAAGGCTAGTTTTGCAGCTGTGTAGAGAACAGGTGGGCAGAAGGGGCGGAGGCAGAGGTGAGCTATGGGTTGGGTTGCAGGGAGTTCAAGGCAGGTGATGGAGACAGGGACCGACATGGAGATGATCAAAGTTCAGATGTAATTCTGAAGGCTATGTGGTGGGCTTCACAGAGGTACAGGGCAGTCAAGAACAACGCCAAGATTCCAAAGCTGAGCACAAGGAGGAGGGAGGCACCATGTGGGATGGGGAAGGCAGGGAGAGCAGGCAGAGGCTTGGCATTGCTCCACGTGATATGAGAGCCTCACCAGACACCACAGAGAGCCAACACACAGGCAGTCACACGTACAAATCTCAAGCTCAAGGGCAAAGCCTGGGTCAGAGGTGGACAAGGGTGAGTTGACAACACTTAAGCACTGCTATGTTCCCAGGCCCTAGAATGATGCCTGGAACACAGAACTCAATCGTCTTGAACGAATGAGCAAAGGTATCAGGCATTCCCTCACCTCAGGGGCACAGAGCGTACCCGAGCCTTTGGCCACCAAATATGGATCCATGAGCAGACTTAGGAAATGCATGAGGTAAGCAAAGGAGGTGAAGAGGTCCCTGCCTTGTTCTTTTCATGCCAAGTAAAAATCATCAGTTCCTCCCTGAGCACAGTAGCCGTGAAAACGCTCAGCACACTGTACTAACTTTGCTTCTCCACAAATTTGTGTTCCCAGTGTACAGCAACGAGGATGAGTCCCACAGCTAAGTCCCCAAGGACTACACTCTCACTGATTTCCGAGCTGAGACTCTTTCCACGAATGAGGCTGCCCCTCCCCCGCTTTACTTCCTCAGTCCTGGAATGAGGGGACACTGACACATCTTGATGAGGGACACTGTCCCCACCTTCCCATAACGGCATGATGCTGGGGCTTACGCAGAATGAAAGATCAGCACACCACGTCTCTTCCAAATAGAGAGCTTAAGCCTGCCTACTCAAACTGAAAACTCCACAAAGCACGGTTGCTTTCTACGACTCTTTCTATGCTGCAGTCTGTCAGGTCTCCCTAAAACACCCCCACCCACTGCAAAGAGAAAAGGCACTTTGGCTACAATTTTACAGTTCCCATGGGCCCAACCACAAGGGCTAGCACTGCCCCAAAAAGCACCTGCTGCCCTTGCACAAAAAGTCCTACAACCTTACAAAATGTTCTCATAAGTCTTACCCCACAAATTTACAAGAAATGTTTTTGCAAGTTTTACAAAATGTTCTTGCAAGCTAACACCCCTAACCACAAAACCCCTCCTTCCCTTAGCTGTTCTGACCCACTAACTTCGTCCACAAAAAAACCTTAAAAACTCAACACTTTGCACAGCTCGGGGCTGTCTTGGTTCCCTGGGCAGCCCATCACATTGCTCTCTTGCCTAATAAAGACTCTTCTCGTGCCAGACGGTCTGGTTCGGTTCTGTCTGGGTTTCTTGGTCCAATCAGTCTTCCTTCAAGGGACAGTTCTGTTCCTGTGAAAAGTCCCATCTTCCTCTCCACAGCTGCATGCTATATGGAAGCCCCAAGTTTGTGTCTTCTTCTCAAACTCCTCTAAAGTAATCTCCCCTCAAATGAAGAGAAATTTTGGCAACACAGACCAGAAGCTTTTGTTTTTACCCTGTCTAGCAATCCAATGTTTCATGTCCAAGCAAGGGCACAGCTATAGCAGAGTATCCCCACTTCTTCACATCCTTGTATGAATGGGACGTCATTAACTTTGAAGTAAATGGTCTTTTACGTGAATCTGAGTGTGTTTGATACAGGGTGGGGGAACCCTTCCAAGTGCCCACTAGTCACGTAAACATTCATTCACTTGCACCTGCTATTCCTTACTATGTGCCAGGCAGTGTGCACACAAGTTGAACAGAAGCGATCCCTCCCTTCAAGAGATACAGGTGACATATCCACATCTAAGCACAAGTGTGCTGGATGCTAAGAGAGCACAGCACAGGGCATGATGGTGGCAAACTCCAGGCAAGGGGACAGTGTCCCTCGGATGAGGAAAGTGACATGTAAGCAGGAAAGAGAAATTAGCTATCCAGCGAGCCAGGATATCATAGGTCTAGAGGCCACAGCCATGGGCACAGGGTTCCATGGCTGCAGAGAAAGGAGGTCTGTGGGGCATGGGTGCTAGGGGGCAAGAAAAGGCCCATGGATTTTTCTCTCAATGCCTTTCTTTGTATTTCATTCATTCCCCATGCATTTTTAGCATTTTTCTTAGCTTGAAGAAGTTCTTTACATGACTGTCATCAGTCCCACATCCCACAAGCAAATATTTTGTGTTTTCTTTGAATGATGCTTATAAATTGTCTACCAAATCCAGGATTTACTTGGTCAGCTCTGTCAACACTTTCCTCCAGCATGTAATTGTTAGCATCATGTGTTCAAAACCTCCCTACCTTGGACTATACGCAAATTCTCTTGCAGAATTTCTGGCTTTTAGAAATTTCCTACATTTTAATCTTTGTTCCATGTGTAAAATGTTAAGTTACGGGTCCTGTTTTATATTTCCTTGTTCTTATCTAAAAAAAAAAAAAAAAAGCCACCCTCTGGTCCCCAAACCACTCAGAAGATGCTGTATTTTCCCTGCTGAGCGAACAAAGCTGCACCCCTCAGGCAGAACCCAGGGGTGCATATGGCGTGCTGTGTTCCACATGGCAAGGAAGAAGAGGCACCGCGCAGACATCAACTCTCATGAGGAAGGACAAAGTCTCAACACTGCAGCAGATAGTTTATAAACAAGCAGGAGGCAACAAAATGTTGAAAAGCGTATTTACCTTATCCGTGTCTGCTGCTTAACTAAGACATTCCACATGTCACTAATAATCTGTAAATAGATTTTTAAACAGTTTAGCAATGCTGTTTTGAGAAAAAAATTTAAATAAAGTATCTTCTAAATTTTAAAACCTCAATTAAAAATGAGACATGAAAAAACATTTACAGTATAATAATTATGGCAACATAGCCTTAGTCACACCTAGCAGCACTGACACATAACTCCTGTGCCTTTGCCCTCCGCAGTACCTGAGCCCAGATCAGAAGTTCTGCACCTGGCTCGGGGGTTCCTACAGCTCTGCCAACTGGCCTGGACCTGCCCACCCTGGGAAGAACCACTGAGCTGCTGCTGCCTGAATCTGCACCTTCCTAGGTAGTTCAGGGCGTTTCTGGTCGAAAGTCTTATTTCCTGGGATGGGTCATAACTCTAAAGAGCCTGAATGAACGTTATCTAATTTTCCAATGATAGGATTTTAAATGTTTCAAAATAATTATCCTCTATCTCAATCTCTTCTTCTCTAACCGGAAGAGCACAGCTTCTTTAATCTTATTTAACAGTTTCCACCATGTTTTTCATCCAGGCTGCTATCTTGTGAATATTCTGGATGGCTGGAATCTAGTACTTTTTGAGTATCTGCTAGGTACAAATTCCTCCCAGGAATACAGAAGCGTCAAGTGGGCACAGAGCGCAGCACCCCTGGGAACTGACCACTAACTGCCTGCAATTGAAAAGTGCTGCCGTACACAGAGCTGCACATCATCGTCTCCACGGGGCCTACATTTGCTGCCCTGACCTGACCTTCCAAACCTCACCTGCAAAATGGGGCGACAGTCTCTGTCCCCTCCACAGGGCTGCTGGTAGCCAGCAGCAGCATGCATGTGAGCACGTTCCCAGGGAGGACAAAACACCATGCAGATGCGTAATGTGGACAGTGATGGCAGTACTGAGCGTGCTTCAAATACAGGACATGTGTGCTGTAGCCACATCAACCACGAACTACCGACTTGAAAGCTTTTATACCCTCTTTTCCAATCACTGATTAAGCTTAATATATTTACTTAAGACAGCTGCTTTTAAGCTGTCCACAAACTTAAAAGACCAGAATGTCACACTTGCATTTGTTCTGTTTTATTTTGTTTTAATAAATAAAATACAATTTAAATTGTATTTTATTTTGTTCTCAAGTGTGCTTTTAAGCTGCTTTAAGCTGTCCACAAACTTAAAAGACCAGAATGTCACACTTGCTTTTGTTCTCAGGCCTCTCTGACTGACATCTGGGCTTAGAATTGCATAGTCAAAACTAACTTGGGGACCTATACATGTTGTCTAGCTCATCGACACATTATTAATTCCTACTTTTCTTTGTGGCTAATAATAAACACAATTTAGGAGTTATTGTACACTGCACATTTAGAAAGGCATATATTAAATGTTTTAGGAAACTATTACATAACAATTAAAAGCAAGTCAGTAATAAATAGTCAAAACAAAGTTACATCTAGGTCTCTGATCGTGATTTTCAAAATATACAGCCGTCAAAACTGGAATCATCCCTTTCCTCTGTCTATTTATGCTGGAAGATAACAGAATTGTCTAAGGCTTGTTGTGAATATTCATCAAAGACATCTCTAAGAAAATACAGAATATGTTTCAATACATCAACACAAAACACTTTAACAAACTATCATGTCACTAAGAATATGTGACTGCTATATAAAAACAAGAAAATGTTTTATTATTAGAGAAAGCCCTTAAGTGACAGACGTACCTTTCTGACAATTGCAATAAATACTACAAGAACAACAGGAAGCAACAGTGTCTTTGTATACCTCAGGGGGGTCTGAAATTCAGAGAAATGCTTTTTTTTAGAGGAAAACATTATTTAACCAAACACAATTTCATTTCAAATAATAAACAGGTGAATTTCTCAAATGTAAGTAGAGAAAAATGAAATATTCAGGCATTAAGGGTCCCATTTACCCACTGTCTCCCATCATAAAAATGAATGTGCATTTCCATAAACAAATTTCACCCAAGTGTTGAATAGAAAACACTAAAAATGCAGCTCCCAGACACTTGTGAGTGAATGTGAAAGGTGACCAAAGAGTAATCTCTCCACTTTCTGCAGGCTACTGGTCTATTGTCTGACTTCCTACCATGTGAGGTAAGTAAAAAGTGTTAAAATGGGTAAGCTTCCCTATACACACATTTCCTAAGGAGTAAACATCACAAGCCATCACACACACACACACACACACACACACAACTACTACTACTACTACAAAAAAAAAAAATAAGGACAAATATTCATGAAGAGAACAGACATTTTTACATTTTTAGTGAATGGTATTGTTTTTAACAACAAAGCCCTACATACTGCGATCTTGTCTCCTAGATTCCCAACCTAAACCACTGTTAAACCTTGCTCTCTTATACGTCACATGTGCCAACTACAGACAAATCAGATCACACTACTGTATCCCCTCCCATGCACATCGCATGCTTCCTTGCACATCAATACATGTCATGGTAGGGACATCCCATTAAATCTGTCCCTTACTTCCAGTGTGGATGCACCATAAAAGGCAACACTCCCTGCACTGAGCACTCCTGACAGCATGATCCCTGCAGTCAGACACCTGAGCTGGGAGGGGCACATGGAAAGAGCTGTCACACTGAGCCTCCATAAACAATGCTTTTCATACAGAGATGACAATCCCCTCAGGCTGCAGGGGCATGCATGATGTCCGCAATAAAGCTAAGGGACTTCCATCCCATCTGCATTCCCCACTGTTGTCTCCTCTCCATTTCTGTTGTCACTACTACCACTGCCTTGAAGGAGTCTTGAACGCTCATGAACATACATTTCAATGTCCTACACGATCCTCTTCCAGGCATCGCCAGGCATTGTATGTCAAAATGTTAAATGCAACAATGGAACACTAAGAGGCAACTAGGGCAAGCAGGACACCTGCAGAACACCTGCAACTCTGGGTAGTGGCACAGAGCGAACGCAGGAGGAGTACAGGCAATGGATGAGGGCTGTCGGAAGTTTAATGTCACACACATGCAGCACTGAACGATAATAAAATATAATGAATCGGTGCCACCGAATGGATGGTGTTTAAAAGCCAGAAACATACATGTCTGCAGAACCAGAACAGCTCATAAAGAACTACAAAACAATATTCTATTTAAAATATCAAAGCCCTTTTCTGAGTTACCTCACTTCATCTCCACAACATCTACTGGTATTGTGTTACCAGAAACTGGTTTACTGTAACACAATAAATACAAGCCAATGGTTCAAGACCATTAAGCAACACTGCAGACTTCTGTCTCACAGTCCACTAAGCTACTCTCTGATTTCCTTCTGCACAGCTGAATAAAGTTTTAGAAAGAGAAATCTTGGAATGAAATGCTTGTGCTCAATGATACTTAAAAGTAATGAGCTCATTCAAAGAACCAGAAAATGAATGGGAACGTAGAGGCCTGTGCTGGGCTAAATTAACACTACCTCTGAAGTGAGGCGACTGGAAATGCTTCTGTATTTACACGTCCAGAAAGGGTGGCTGGTCTGAGTGTGTATTTAAAAATTATCGAAATGAAAAGAAGCCGTGTATTTCAGGGAGCTGCACTAATGTAAATAAAAGCATCTTTAAGCTGCCAGATCTTCCTTCCAGCTGAGATATCAGCACATACAAAATCTGACATAACAGGGCACCCTTCATGCACAATGAATGAACCAAAACCTCGGGGCACAGAGCTGGAAGTCACCCCTTACCTCCTTTTCCATAAAGTCAAACTCCGCTGCACAGGTATACAGTAAAGTATCAAAATCTTTGTAACTGAAGAATTTTGATGTTAGTAAGTTGCCGATATGAGCCTGGTAGTAAAGAAAATGAGAAACCATTGTATTAAACCAAATACTGTAGTAATGCAACTTATTCCTAATGACTTTAGGAAGATTTCGCTGTGACAATCTGGGACTGTGTTCTGTGGAGGACTGTGCTGAAGCTTCCCACCTCACAGGTGCCAGTCATTTGCTGGCAAGTGACAGCTCCAACAGCACCCCATCTCCCATTCTCTTGGGGACCAAAGATTCCTACCTCCAGTTGTCCCCACCTACTGTACTACCCTGGTAACTCATGCTTACGTAAAAATGCACTTACATCATCGGCAATGCCGAAGAGTCTGGAGGTCAAAGACTTGAGTACAATAGTTCCAAATAACCAAAAGCACCCCTGGAGAACCTACAGAAGAAAATGAAACATAAAAACTAACTTTGAGGCTTCAAACTGTATAGCCTATGAAGAAAAAAAGTAAATGCTTTAATCACATATCAAATAAATATACCTCTAAAGAAAAAAATATTTTCACCTCATTTGAAATATATATCATTATGAGAATATGATAAAAAAATGCATTTCAATATAAAATAATGTTGCTCCAAAACCAAAGGCTATAACCAAAAACATTTATATAATCTTAGTAGTAAAACTAACATGTTTTTTTGGCGATTTATACAGGAATTGCAGTTAAACTCTCCTAACAGTCTCTTATACATGTGCTTGTTTCTTAGAAGAAATATAAGAGTAATAAAATAAACAAAGGCAGGATTCTGTAACTGCTTGTCTCTGATTAATCTTAACTTGCTTCCTGAAAGGGACAATCTGGCACATAAAAACTGAGTCTTTATATGTTATAAAACTGTTAGATCCCCTGCATAAAAACGGAAAAATAAGTAAAAAACACAAATCAATTATGTATTTTACAAAGAAAAGATGTAGGCATTGAAATAGATTGATTCTTACCCATAAACTAAGTTCAGATACATTTATTTTCAGAAAATGTGGTTTCATTGCCAGCACACCCTGAACAGAAAAAAACTATGGTTAATACTTATACTTACAAACCCAAATAACAATTACTCTAAATATTACACCTTCAAGAGTCTAAAAGCCAGCAGTCTACTGACTTCCCACATAGTATCATGACATGCTCATGTCCATTGTCAATGACTTAAGAAAAAAATAGCCTTATTTTACCCAAAGGAAGATTAGGTCAGTTAATGACTTGGTAAAATTGAACAGAGAATCACCATATACAAATTTACAGATCAGATTTGTCTACAAACCAAGAGGTACATTAATGTCATAATTTTAGAGAGTAGCCATACAGGCATAAAATTTTCCTTAAGCTAAGAGTTACTAACTCTTAGGATAAACCAAGAGATGGAGGGAAGGGCGGAAAAAAAAAATAATTGAGATGTGTTATGTACATGTACCAACTCTCCACAGAAAACATAATCATTATGTACCAGAAACATGTGGCAATAAAAAAATAAAAATTAAAAAAATGAATGGATCAATTAAATACTCCTCTATCACATCTGAAATCTTTCCTGGTACATAGACTCCCAAACTATATTATCTTTGGGGAGCTAAACCCACCTCAAGCTTAGCAAAAATATATCTGGAGATCAAGACGCAAATACTTTGAACCCAAATTAATTAGGAATTAATTTAAAGAAGTTTTCTGAAAATTTGAGAACACAATATGGTACAATTCAGGTTTTGAAATGATGCATTACAGTTAAGTATGTGTGAAGGGAACATGCATAAGCACACTATATTCTATAATCCTTGGGACCATGCGTTTTACACACCAAAATATAGGAAGTATGCATATACATGCTTACTTCATGCGTAAGACAACCTTGTAGCCTAGCACCTAGTGCAGTACCTGACATCCTGCACCTATGAACTGAAATCAGAGAAATTTCTTCCAAAATATACTCAGATCTCCTTCACATGCGCTCTTCCAGTCCAATGGCTTCCCATACACAAGCACATAGCCATGTCATAACAAGCAGTGCTAGTACTGCCACTGTATCCATGTGAATACAGGCCTGAGTACACTGTCACATTTCCTCACTACAAAACCCCTGAGTTTAAACACTAAACAAAGCACAGCAACTCCACTGATGATTTTTGTTGTTGTGGAAAACGCATCTTCCCTACACGCTAAGGGTGCATTTCTGGGGTTAAATCTACTCACATCACACACGTGACAAGGGTAGTGACTCAGACTGGGAAAAAGCACATTTTTGGGAACTGGGGATTTGAATAATCATTATTTGTAAAAAGGGGGAAAAATAGGAGGCTACATTTTTTTTAAATGAGCTTGAGAAATCAAGAAAGCCAAAAATGATCCCAGCAACTTAAATGACTCAAAAAGTACAATACAGCCAGATGTGGTGGCACAAGTCTATAATCCCACCACTCAGGCGGCTGAGGCAGGAGTTCAAAGTCAGCCTGCACTACATAGTGAGTTCAAAGCCAAACTGGACTATAATGCAAAGCCCTGTCTCAAAAAAGAAAAAAGAAAAAAAGTACAATATCTTCTAACTAAGACAGTATAAGAAATGGGCCCGCAGACTTTAGATAGGAATGACTGGAGGAAAAAAGGCAAAACCATCTTGGATAGACATGACTTTTGTATTTAGCTGGATAGTGACAAAGGGAAAGGAAAATATAGCTTTCTGACCAAAATGCAGGAAAGAGAAGACTGTGGGAAGAGAAAGGGCAGATGTGCTGCAGGGTGAAGTGCTGTGCTTCCCAATGGAAGCTTCCCACTGTGGGCTTTTCCTTCTCCCTGCTTTGGAGTGAGCACCTAACTATCCCATCACACACACGTGGCTGTGTCTGGGGAACACCCTCGTGAATTCCAGGCTAGGGACAGAGAAATGGATTCCACCAGACTCCAATCGGCCCTGTTCTCAAGTGACACTTACCCAAATAGTTACCAAAGAGGAAGCATAATAAGATGTCAATAGCATTGAGTTCCCAAACATCAGAACAAAACACAGTGCAAGAGAAATCTGCAAAAATACAAGAAAAAATATCGTTTATACATGTAAAACAAAAAGCGAAACACTGATTGTAGGAATCACACAATGATAAAATGCCTACAATAAACATGACACGTAATGAAAACGGCACACTCTTGTCTGTCACGTTATGCCCCCAGAGAGACCCTTAGGGATAGCTTCCTGTGTGTCCTCCCAGGAAGCGACAGATGCAAATTTTTGTTTGTATTTTAGTTTAAGGTCATAAACGGGAACCTATACATAAGCTATGCTGTTTCTTGCTTCTGCTCTTAATATGTTTCAGAGAGCTTTCCATATGAATCCAAACCAATCCCAGTCTAAGAACCGAGAAAAATACTGTATTCTATTTTACTGATGTACCATGATTTATTTAACTAGTTCTCTGGGTACTGTTCGACATTTAAGTTCTTTTTAGGTCTGTTGTTTTGTTTTTCCTGTTAAGAACAACATCCTTACATGTGCATCCTATGAGAGCATGTCACATATTACAGACACCGCTCTTATCAAGCAAACATACAGCAAATATTTTTCCCAGTTTAGTTTTTATCTTTGTGATATTTTTGTACCATCATAAATTTTTATGTTAGTTAAATTTATCATTCATTTCCTTAAGGTCTTCAGGATTTATCTCCACAATTTAACAATTCTTTAAAAAATTCATGTTTTCTTTTAGAAGCTTTATCTTTCATCAATATATCAATTTCCATATGACTTTTAGAATGAGCCTAAGTTTCAAAAGCTGGTATTTTTATTAAAATTATGTATTTGAAAATGTACATTATCTGAACTGTTATATCCCAACACTGAAGTTTTAGGCCCAAAGCAATGTATATTGCTGTCATTTTTTGTCTTATATAGAGTAGTGGGTATAAGGTTTTCCTCAGACAGATCCTGTATACTTCTTGTTTATTCTAAAGTATATCATCTGTCACTGTTGTGTCAGGAAATCTTTTGTCATACTTCTAACTGATTATTTGTATATAGAAGTTTTATTAAATATACATCAATGAATATTATCTTTCACTGTTTCTAGTTGTTCTTTTATTAATTTGGATTTCTCAGGTATTCAAAATCATACTACCTGCAAATGATGATACTTTTTTATCTTCTTCCTATTTTTGAAGCGCTCATTTTTCAGTCAATTGTATTAGCTGATATTTCTGCAATAATGAGAGTGGCAATCGGCATATCTATCATGATCTTGGCACTAATGGAATGGTCCTATTGATTTATCATTTTGTGTGATGCTAGATTTTGGTTTTAGGAATATGTACATATTTTAAATTTCAATGAAATCTCTATTTTTACTTGACTAAGGTCTTAAAACTTAGAAATAGATGTAACTTATTAAATGGAGCATCAAAGGAAATGAACATATTGTTGATATTTTTAAAAACTTCTTTATGTGATGAACTGTAACAGAATCCCTAGGGCAGAATATTCATGTATTTCTAGAAGGACTTTTACTTTTACTTTTAGCATATTCTATTGCTACATACTTATTAAGTAGGTAAGTAATTAAATTTTCTACATTTTATGACAATAGTTTTTGGCCATAGGTGCTAAAATTTAAGACTAATCCTAAAAGTTTTCCTCCCAATTTTTGCAAAAATGAAGATGACACTACCTTGAATAAATGGGTTCATGACCCCAAAACAGTCAAAACAATGTGAAAGGTATTGCAAAAAAAATGTAAATTAGTATTAAAAAAAGTTTTAGGTTGGGTGTGATGGTAGTGCCTGTAGTCCCATTACTTGGAGGCTGACCCTGTGCGTTTAAGGAAAGCCTAGGCTACATAGTCAGTTCAGGATCAGCCTGAATCACATAGTGAGACCCTGTCTCAAAAAACCAAAAAAAAAAAAAAAAAAAAAAGCCCAAAACAAACAAAAAGTTCCAACATGTGTTTCAGGCTGAAATTAGTAAACTACGTATTAACTTGTTGAAAAGAATCCTGAAATTATCTCACTGTTGAAATATGGTTTTTATGGTTAACCAAAGGAAAAATGAGATAAATATTACAGAATCATTCAGTGTGAAAAAATACCTTTACTCTGGCTTTGTTTACAAAATTACAATATGATTTCCATTTGAATCTACAGCACCAGCTGGAGTTTTCTGATGCAAAGCGCCCTATGTTTTGAACCTGGACAAAAGAACAAAAGGTCTGAGGAAGGAGGAAGAAGTTCCAGGGTGGCGGGAAGGTTCTACCCTGAAGGAAGAGGCTTGTGACAGACAAAAGAGCTCAAACCTGAAAAGTCAGTGTTACAGAGTTTGTCTTCTTGATTTCCTTCAGCAGCATTTTGCAGCATTTTGCAGCTTTTGCTGCACGCCAGGATCCTAACAGTGCTGGAGGCAGCGGAGGTGCTCTGGACACACCCGCAGCTCAGCCACAGAATGTGTGTGTGGGGGGGTGTTTTAGGAACTTCAGCACTGAGGGTGCTAAAGGATAAACTAAACAAATTCTCAAAGTTTCATGACAGTAAGTGCTAATTTCATGGTCATAAGTGCTAAAACTTATGACTAACTACTAGAAGGCTAAGTTTGTCATTAAATAAGAGAGGAAATGTTTTGAAGGAAATTGATTTTGTTAGAGAGTATCAAAGACTTGGTTTAGATGCTTGTTTGTTTTAAAATATGTCGATTCTGTACACTGATAATTTGCCAAATTAGGGAAGAGGAAGAAACAAACAAAAAAATCCAAATTAGAAAGGAATAAGCAAAATGACTTCTGATCAGAAATAATGTTATTTTATATGGGAAAAAAACCTCAAAAGTTATACCCAAAAACACTTGGAAGTTTAGCAAAGTATCAGGATACAAAATCAACACCCAAAAACTGAATTTCTTTACACTAACAATAAATTACCTAAATAGGAATTTAAGAAAATAATTTATTTTAACAGTAGCATCAAAAAGAATAAAATACACCATAATTAATCAAAGATTTATAAGGTTTGTGCAAAGGAAGCTACAAAGCATTGCTCGAAGAAACTAAGACATAAATAATAGAAAGAAAGCTAAATTCATGGATTAGAAGACTGCACACTATAAAATGCTGAGAGAACACATCTGTAAATCGTGTTATCTGGTAAGGGATTAGCAACCAGAATAGATACAGAACTCCTATACTCAATGCAAGTATAACCTTATTAAAAAATTAGTAGCTAGAAAAGACTCTTCTCCAAAGATGATATATAAATTGCCAAGAAGCACATAGAAAGGTGCTCAACACAAGTAATCATAGGAAAAGGTAAATTAAAACCACACTGGAGGTCCTGTGTATAATGATCATAAAAGTTGCCATCAGGTCCTATCAAGGAAAAAACTGAATGAACTGACAAACTAGCATCTTTTCTTGCCTCTGACAAAGAAAAGCAGTCACAGAGCAAACTGCTGCCCCAAAAGGACAGTCATCTGGACACAGATTTGCAACTTACTAGAGCAGAAACCCATGAACAGAACCCCTATGGGAACCAGCACAAGAATAAGCCAACCTGGCTGGGTACAGTGGCACCCTGGGAAGCTGAGGCAGGAGGATCACAGGTTTGTGCCCACCATGGGAAACTCAGCAATTTACTAAGACCCTATCTCAAAATAAAAAATAAAAAGGGTTTAGGATGCAGCACAGTGTGAAGGCCCTGGGTTCAATCCCCAGTATGCCTCCAACAGGCATGCAGGCACGTGCACGCGCGCGCGCGCGCGCGCACACACACACACACACACACACCCCTGAAAGAGTAGGAATACCTGTGATGGGTAACTGCTGCAAGTTCAATATGGACCACTCTGAAAGTTAAAAATACAGTAAACTAGGCATAGAGAGATGTCTAGATTTTTGTGAACTTTGTCTCCAAGAGTTCTACAAGCTCCTCACAATAAGTATCAGAGGAAAATCCCTTTGGGCCTCTGGAGGGGAAGGGGAAAGGGACTAAAGCGCTAGAACACTCTTGTCTAGGGAAGAAATTATGCCAACTTCCAACAATCACCTCTGGAAAATGGAATCAGAGAAATACTTTCTAGCTCACCTGTGAGGCCAACATTACCCTAGCACTATACCAGACAACATGAGGACAACAACAACAGAAAACTACAGGCTAGTATCTCTCAAGAACACAAATGCAAAAACAATCACAAAACATTGGGAAATCAAACAAAGAGTAGTAAAAAGAATCACATGCTTCAACCAAGTAAGAATTATCCCTGGTATCTGAGGGTGGTTTAACATTTAAAAAGCAATTAATGCAAGACTAAAGAAAAGGCATATGATCGTATCAACAGATGCAGGAAGGTTATCTGAAAACAATCCAAAACCGACTCATGATAACACTCAGGATAAACTCTCAAAAAGTAGGAAAAGAAGGAAATTTCATTAGCTGATAAAGAATGTTCACGACACACCTACAGACAGTGTGATCCTAGCTGAGAAACAAAGCTTTGCTCCCGAGAGCTGGAAAAGGCAAACAGGTTGCCTCCCTCTACTACCTCTCAGAATCGTCCCAGAGGCTTACAAAGCACAGGTCCCTGAGTAGATAGTTTTGATTTATGGCCAGCTAATAGAAATGTTCAAACAAGCTAATTTCATTTCATATGGGAATGAGGGGTCTCCAATTCTATAATTAATACTACCAAACTTGCTTCCTACAGCCTCTGATTGTTAGAAAGGGAAAACTTGCTAAGAAAGGGAAATAAAAGGTATAAAGATTGGAATGGAAGAAATAAAACTTTCAGGGGTGATATGATTATTCACAAAAAATATTCAGAAGAACCAGCAAAAATCCCCTGTAACAAATAAGGAATTGGAGCAAGGCTGCAGAATGCAGGTTACTGTGCGAGTCAACTGCTTTCTCATCTACCAAAAATGAATGAGGAGGAATTTGAAATTAATAATACTGCCATTCACAATTAGCACCAGAAAAAGATACAGTATGGATAAATCTAACAAAATATGTATGACAGCAGTGTGAAGAAAACTACAAAACACTGATGAAAGA